CTTAACCAGGGAATTCCCAGCACCACCGGGTACGCAGGAGAGTCGATCAGATACAACTGTATAGTCTCTTCATGACCCCCCTGCGCACACATCCTAAGTGGTGCTGTGACTTCCCTAATCAACCCCGACCCCAACGGGCGGCTATCTAAAGCATGAACGGGAAAAGGTTTGTCAACAGGTAGGAGAGGGATCCCTAAATCTAAACAAAACTTCAGATCAACAAAATTCCCAGCTGCGCCTGAATCTACTAGCGCCTTATGCTGGGAATGAGGTGCAACCTGTGGAAAACAAACAGGTATACAAAAGTGCGCAACAGAGAGCTCTGGGTAAGTGGGGCGTCTACTCACCTGGGAGGGCCCCCCATTGCGTGGCCTGTTGTCTCCTCCCTCGGGGAACCCTCCCCAGCACCTGGCCGAAGTGTGCCCTCCACGACCGCACTTGGTGCAGGGGACAGGCCCCCTCGGGCTCCTCCTCCTCCTTTCTCTAGCGCCAGCACCCCCGAGCTCCATAGGGCTCGGCTCGGAGGTGCCGGAGGGTGGAATGGACGGACCCCACTCGGGACGTCCACGGGTGGCCAGCAGGGTGTCCAGACGGATGGACATATCGACCAACTGGTCGAAGGTGAAATTGGTATCCCTGCAGGCCAACTCACGTTGAACGTCCTCCCGTAGGCTACATCGAAAATGGTCGATGAGGGCCCGTTCATTCCACCCTGCGTCTGCCGCTAGAGTCCGGAACTCCAGCGCGAACGCCTGTGCGCTCCTCCTCCCCTGTCTCAGGTGGACTAGACGCTCCCCCGCCGCTTTGCCCTCAGGTGGATGGTCAAACACGGCCTTGAAGCGACGGGAGAACTCGGCGTAGGAGATGGTGGTGGCGTCCATCCTCCTCCACTCGGCGTTGGCCCATTCCAACGCCTTGCCCGTGAGACAGGAGATGAGGGCGGAAACGCTCTCGTGTCCCGAGGGCACCGGGTGTACAGTGGCCAGGTAGAGCTCCACCTGCAGGAGGAACCCCTGACACCCGGCAGCTGTTCCGTCATACACCCTCGGGAGCGAGAGCCGAATCCCACTGGGTTCCGGACCTGGGACTGGTGGACCGGCCGATGGGGGTGGCAGGGTAGGTGGAGGTGTGGGTACCCCTCTGGACTCCCATCGGTGCAGGGTGTTGATGACGTCCTGTAGAGCGGTCCCCAGTTGTCGTATCTGGTCATCCTGGCCGCGGACATGCTCCTCCAGCGACTCAGGCGTGATTGTTGCTCCTGCTGATTCCATTATTAAAGGTGTGTGATTCTGTCAGGGGTGCTGAAGGTGGGTGTGGTGCAGGAATCAAGCGCAGGACGCAGAAGCTAAGTCCAAAAGACTTTAGTGAATTATTCACGTAGTAAACGAGCACAATAAGCCCGGAGGCGAAATAAAGGCGCACACAGGCGTCAAACAAAAAGGCGCACTAACATGTGCGAAAACCTCTCCAAACAACGGAGGGAAGTACGTAGCTCAGAACACCAAAACAGAAGAGCAATCACACACAACACCAAACACACACAACGAGAACTAAATAGGACACTAACGAGGACTAACTAGACACAGGTGTACAACATCAAGACAAAACCAAACGAACATGAAACATAGATCGGTGGCAGCTAGTACTCCGGGGACGACGACCGCCGAAACCTGCCCGAACAAGGAGGAGGAGCAGCCTCGGCCGAAACCGTGACAATGACACAAGTAAATTTTCCAACAAATGTTTACAGACAGATTATTTCACTTATAATTCACTGTATCACAATTCCAGTGGGTCAGAAGTTTACATACACTAAGTTGACTATGCCTTTAAACAGCTTGGAAAATTCCAGAAAATTATGTCATGGCTTTAGAAGCTTCTGATCATTTGAGTCAATTGGAGGTGTACCTGTGGATGTATTTCAAGGCCTACCTTCAAACTCAGTGCCTCTTTGCTTGACTTCATGGGAAAATCAAAAGAAATCAGCCAAGAACTCAGAAAAAATATTGTAGACCTCCACAAGCCTGGTTCATCCTTGGGAGCAATTTCCAAACACCTGAAGGTACCACGTTCATCTGTACAAACAATAGTACGCAAGTATAAACACCATGGGACCGCGCAGCCGTCATACCGCTCAGAAAGGAGACGCGTTCTGTCTCCTAGAGATTAACGTACTTTGGTGCGAAAAGTGCAAATCAATCCCAGAACAACAGCAAAGGACCTTGTGAAGATGCTGGAGGAAACAGGTACAAAATTATCTATATCCACAGTAAAACAAGTCCTATATCGACATAACCTGAAAGGCCACTCAGCAAGGAAGAAGCCACTGCTCCAAAACCGCCAAAAAAAAAAAGACAGACTACGGTTTGCAACTGCACATGGGGACAAAGATCTTACTTTTTGGAGAAATGTCCTCTGGTGATGAAACAAAAATATAACTGTTTGGCTATAATGACCATCGTTATGTTTGGAGGAAAAAGGGGTTTCTTGCAAGTCGAAGAACACCATCCCAACCGTGAAGCACGGGGGTGGCAGCATCATGCTGTGGGGGTGCTTTGCTGCAGGAGGGACTGGTGCACTTCACAAAATAGATGGCATCATGAGGAAGGAAAATTATGTGGATATATTGAAGCAACATCAGTCAGGAAGTTAAAGCTTAGTCGCAAATGGGTCTCCCAAATGGACAATGACCCAAAGAATACTTCCAAAGTTGTGGCAAAATGGCTTAAGGACAACAAAGTCAAGGTATTGGAGTGGCCATCACAAAGCCCTGACCTCAATCCTATAGAAAATGTGTGGGCAGAACTGAAAAAGCGTGTGCGAGCAAGGAGGCCTACGTACCTGACTCAGTTACACCAGCTCTGTCAGGAGGAATGGGCCAAAATTCACCCAACTTAATGTGGGAAGCTTGTGGAAGGCTACCCGAAACGTTTGACCCAAGATAAACAATTTAAAGGCAACTTCTGACCCACTGGGAATGTGATGAAAGAAATAAAAGCTGAAATAAATGATTCTCTCTACTATTATTCTGACATTTCACATTCTTAAAATAAAGTGGTGATCCTAACTGAACTAAGACAGTGAATTTTTACTAGGATTAAATGTCAGGAATTGTGAAAAACTGAGTTCAATGTATTTGGCTAAGGTGTATGTAAACTTCAGATTTCAACTGTATCTGCTAGAGAACCAGTTCGGATTTAAGTATACGTTTTGTATGATTGACGCCTTTAGTGAGAGGTCTAATGCTTAAATATTTAATAATTTCTGCCCTCCGAATTCATATTCATTATATAAATAGGCCCGTTTAATTTTGTCTAGCTTGCCGTTCCAAATAAAATGGAATATGTTTTGCTCATATAATTTAAAAAAAATAGGTCGCTAGGTGTAGGCAAGACCATAAGCAAATAGGTAAACTGGGATATGACTAAAGAGTTCATGTCTTTGTATTGGGTTTTGAGAATCTGCAGAGAGAATAATGAGGTGGACAGTGTGTCTCCCAAAGATAGATACATGATTTAGCTGACGGCTTTCAGAGTTCAATACAGGACTGTAACGTTAGCTAGCTAGCTAACTTACCCAGCTAGGCTAGCAAGCTAGCTAACGTTAGGTTACCTCTAATTGAGAATCTTCCGTTTTGTTGTGAAGGTAAAAAATAGATGGTATCACATCACTTCTCAGCTGTCATCAAAATGGATTCCCCATCAGTTCAGCCTGAAATTCCCTCTGATAATCTTTGGTCACCGCATCATTCTTGATAGCCGCAAGCCACTGGCAGAATCGGGGTGAATCTCTGGTAGGTAAAATGGTGAAAGTTAACTAATTTTAGCACTTGTTTGTAATTAGCACAGCCAGGCACAGAACACCACACGGGCATGATGACAAACAGTGAAAAACAAATGTTTTCAAAAAAATCTTGCCTAGAGAAATTGTGAGATTACTGTGTTGGTCGTTAAAAGTAGACAACGCCATTATTCTAGTTTGTGGCCACGCCCCCTCTACCTAGCAAGCGGTTTCAGCATTCGCTATGAATGCCGGACTTTGTGGTTCACTATGAGCAGATGTGAAATTAAAATGTGCTAGTTCTAGCTTGTGGTTTGGATAATTGTGATGTTTATGATAAAAACATAATGTTGTTAATATAGTATATGCTGTGGCAGAGCCAGGGTGAAATTCCCCTTTAAACCATTTCCAGGGATTGTTCTAATGAAAAGAGAACTGCTCCATGTTCAAGGGCACTCTGATGTATTCTGACCCAAATGTAAGATATTATGGGTTTTTAGGTCACTAGGACACTTATGGCTACCTCTCTCTCACACACATACAGCGGAGTGCTTTCTAGGAACTGTCTCATTAGTTTAGGGTAAGCATGGTTTGTTTCTCCTGTCAAAGGCAATATGCATCCTGCCCCTATCCCACATTGTTGCTTTAAAGGCCCAGTGCAGTCAAACAATGTGTTTTATATATATTTCCACACTATGAAGTTGGAATAATACTGTGAAATTGTGAAAATGATGATAATGCCCTTTTAGTGCAAGAGCTGTTTGAAAAGACCGCCTGAAATTTCAGCCTGTTTTGGTGGGATGGAGTTTTGGCCTGCCTGGTGACATCACCAGGCGGTAAATTAGTTAATAGACCAATAAGAAAGAGAGTACAAACCTCTCTGCCAATAACAGATAGTTTTCCGTTTTCCCCTCCCCACTCAGATCACTCCCAGACAGTCCTAGCAAAATTCCTGCTTGAGAAATTGCTCTTTGCTAAGACGCTATTTTTGTAATTTTTTTTACCTATTTAATTGAAACAATCACAGTAAGGTACTTAATTGTTACCCAGAAATGATTTGATATGGAGATAAAAACAGCTGCATTGAACCTTTAATTTGGGTTTTGTCATTTTCAATACTGCAGATGTAGTCAATTTAATTTGTTCTTATTCTTCCCAAGAAAATCAAGAATGCTAATGACCTTGTCAAACTCAACAAGAGTATGATCATAGATCAAACTGGGAGTAAAAAATACAGTGTTTTCTAACATATTTTTATTGGTGAAGAATACAAGGGTCTATAGAGACTTAATAACGTTCAAGAAAACATGTTTACATCCATGCATGGTCAACACATACTAGGCCTATATGGATTTATCAACAAAATTACACTTAATGTGTCAAATGAGTCTTGTTACTGAAGTGTATGGAGCCCAACCAGAGTCTGAGCAACATTTGAATGACAGACAGTGAAATAATTTACAACAGAAATAAGAACTTAAGCTTAATTAAGAGTGCTCTCTGCTGGCAGAAAGAGAGTTGCATTCTGTATTTGCAATTTATCACATACAGAGACGCTTGAGTGCAGAAATGACCACTCAGACTGATCTGTCACAGGATTCTTCTGGGCAATTTCTCTTCTACCCATGGATTAAAGGGTACAACCTAAACCAAGAGGGGGAAAAACAGGTTACTGTAGCTACTGTGACCATTGTCTGTCAGCTGCGGGATTGTGATACTGGGCTATTTATGCCATTCATCCCTCACCTTGCAGTGTAGCCGTGGACTCTGCCTTATCCTTATCCTTAGCCTCCTCCTCTACTACTAGTTTCTTCTTACTGAGGTGCCGCACCACCATCGTGGCATTGAATGCCCTCTGAAAATATATTGTCCACAGGTACAAAAGTATGCTTTTAGAAAAGGTACATTTTACCACAGTGACAAAGCCATTTGTTCCTAGTAAGTGACAAAAATGTACCTCTACCATAGACCACTTAAACTGGTACAACACTTCCACTCATGGGTGGCCAAAAATAACTAACTAACTGAAAGAACAGTTAGAACACTGAGCCACGCATCCAATATAATTTCCCAGTGTGCCTTGCTTTGTTGAGTAAATTGTAGAGTTACCACCCATGACTGTTTGTTAGTGAAATGGTTGTTGAATTTGTTCATTTCCAGTCGTGTGGCCTTCACAAAATGAGTTCCTAGGTGTATGTTATCATTAAAATTAAGCTCTTTATTTCAATACATTACATATCTCATTAGGAAACTCATGGTTTACAGGCCACACCAGGCCTGCAAGTAGGGTTGCAATATTCCGCTAACTAGAAATAATATTCTGCTTATTCCCTCCCTTTTCCATGAATCTTCCAACCGGGATTTCTGGAAAACCTGCGAAATTTGGGAATGTTACCAGAATTTTGTAATCCTACCTGCAAGTCACATTATGCTGGCTTGCAAAGTGATATGTAATTCCTATTGGAATCCAGCCAGAGTTTGGATATCCAACAGTTGGAATTTTTATTAACCCGCAACCTGCATTCCTTATGACTGCCAGAGTTAGGAACATTGTATGGAGACTACCTACGCCATTTAAACTGGAACAAACATTTCAATAACAGGTGCAAAAAATCTAACTAACTGATTCGATTCGTTTTGAAAAATGTATGTTATTTATCTTTATGTACCATAAGATTAATCAATCAATGAATGTATATGCAAAAACAAAGTATTCTAAAAAATCTACCTGCAGTAGAGCATGCTGGCAAATACAGTGAGGGAAAAAAGTATTTGATCCCCTGCTGATTTTGTACGTTTGCCCACTGACAAAGAAATGATCAGTCTATAATTTTAATGGTAGGTTTATTTGAACAGAGAGAGACAGAATAACAACAACAAAAATCCAGAAAAACGCATGTCAAAAATGTTATAAATTGATTTGCATTTTAATGAGGGAAATAAGTATTTGACCCCCTCTCAATCAGAAAGATTTCTGGCTCCCAGGTGTCTTTTATACAGGTAACGAGCTGAGATTAGGAGCACACTCTTAAAGGAAGTGCTCCTAATCTCAGTTTGTTACCTGTATAAAAGACACCTGTCCACAGAAGCAATCAATCAGATTCCAAACTCTCCACGATGGCCAAGACCAAAGAGCTCTCCAAGGATGTTAGGGACAAGATTGTAGACCTACACAAGGCTGGAATGGGCTACAAGACCATCGCCAAGCAGCTTGGTGAGAAGGTGACAACAGTTGGTGCGATTATTCGCAAATGAAGAAACACAAAAGAACTGTCAATCTCCCTCGGCCTGGGGCTCCATGCAAGATCTCACCTCGCCAACGCAACAAAGGAGTGGCTCAAGAAGAAGCACATTAAGGTCCTGGAGTGGCCTAGCCAGTCTCCAGACCTTAATCCCATAGAAAATCATTGGAGGGAGCTGAAGGTTCGAGTTGCCAAACGTCAGCCTCGAAACCTTAATGACTTGGAAAAGATCTGCTAAGAGGAGTGGGACAAAATCCCTCCTGAGATGTGTGCAAACCTGGTGGCCAACTACAAGAAACGTCTGACCTCTGTGATTGCCAACAAGGGTTTTGCCACCAAGTACTAAGTAATGTTTTGCAGAGGGGTCAAATACTTATTTTAAACAGTGCCCAGGCAGGACTAATCTTACCTTCCACTGGCTCTTAGCAAAGTTCTTCTGGATCTGCTTACTGACGGATCCATGTATGTTCTTCTCCAGAGCGGCTCCTCCTGATATCCTGATTCAACAACACGCCCAGCACCAATCAACAAGCCATCAATAGCATTATCATAGAACTTTGGAGTCATAGCCCACTAAGCAAAAACCGGTTGAATCAACGCTGTTTCCACATCATTTCACCCAACTTTTAACCTAAATCCAATGACATGGTGACATGTTTTGTTGATTTCACGTTGAATTCATGTTAGTTGACAACTACAACTCAGCCAAGTGTAAATCAAAACTAGACATTGAACTGACGTCTGTGCCCAGTGGGATGCTATGTGTACTGTATACTACATGTGATATAGTGATAGACCTACAGGATGCTTTTCATCGAAATCCTAAAGGAAACATAAGGTGATATGCAATCAATATAGATAAAGAAAATTATTGTATTTTGAGCTTCAAGAATCTACTGTATGTTTGGATTCAAGTGATCTATGTTCAAAACTCAACTGCCATGGACATTACAATAGGCTATAGAAATACTTGAAAATATCCCTATTTATCAAAGTACCCATTCATTGTGTATAGAACATCTCATTCTATACTTCAGCTGACCAAAGACATGCACTGATAGTCCTGAGAATTCTTACTAAACGAGTTATAGAAAAGAATACACACATAGATACTAATCTATTTTTAAACTCACCAAAGATGCTTCAAGGCCTGCTCACAATTGTACCTCTTCTCTGGTTCTTTCTGCAACATGCGCGGAATGAAATCTTTTGCTGAACGGAAAAATGTGGAGAGAGACGCAGCATTCAGGAGGACATACAATTTCAAGAAAAAAGAAAGCTAAATTAAAAGCACAAAGAAAAATAAGTAATTATTGCCAAGACAGTGATAACTGTGTGTCAAATATGTGTGAGATGTGATGTAATGAACTAATACAGGCTAGCTAAAAGGATCTCTCATAGACCAAGGTCATACTGTACCTGAGTTAGAGATTTCATCCCAATATGGGGAATCAAACTCATATTCAGCCTTTATGATCTGCCTGTACATATGTGACTCACTCTCGTCGTAAAACGGAGGGTAGCCACAGAGTCTGGAACATAAAAAATAAATCATTTTAGCACAACATAACTTTTCACACTTGTCTGTTTTAAGTAAACTGTGAGGAATTAACCATTACTATACACTCACAGTATATAGGTGATCACCCCCAGAGCCCATAGGTCCACCTCTTTGCCATATGATTTCTGCTGCAGAAGCTCTGGTGCTGCACACAAAATGAAAGAGAAGGTTAATGTATGAGGCTCAAACTGCTTTAATTCTACATGATGAGGATTCAGAGGGGATGTATGTATTTGGGGATCCTCACCCACATACGCAGGGGTTCCACATGCTGTGGTGAGCACCCCCTGCTCCTCCATCTTGGACAGGCCAAAGTCACTGATGACAATCTTGGAATCTTCAGACGGAGTCTGATACAGTAGGTTCTCAGGCTGGAATGATAATAATAGAAGGCCTTAAATCATTGAAAATTAAGCTGTATCTATCAATTACTTGAACACTGCTACCAACCTATAAGCAAATCACATGAGTGTTGATCCCAATTATATTGAGCGCATTGATCATCTACCTTAACCTGTGATCTCACAGATACATTCTATTCTCTTTTATGTTGAGATACTTGGGGGACATATAACAGTAATCCTACAATGCTGTTTATAGTGAGGTTAAGTGGTTTTCTAACAGCTAGTGGACAGTTGTACCTTCAGGTCCCTGTGCACGATGCCCAGCTGGTGGAGGTATTGAACTGCCTCCAGAACCTGCTGTATGACACGGCTGGCATCCCTCTCAGTGTAACTCCCCTTCTCCAGAATACGGTCCAGCAACTCGCCTCCTGTAACACTGTGGTAACAAGCCTTCAATTGCATTGTAAAATATAAGAAATGAACAATTAATCTTGGATTAGATCATTTCAGGGTATCTAAATTCAAATTCCACCACCCACAGAGTCATAACCAGATAAAGCTTTGTAGATGTCTCGAAGGTCTCCTCCAATGCCACAATGTTGGGATGGTTGATTCTGAAGGGGAAAAAATGGATACACTCTGAACCATTGTTTTCTTGTCTATTCTGTATTAGCTATAAGTGCAGAGGTGACACTAACCTGCGTAGCACTGCTATCTCATTCTCCAACATGCCTTCTTTGCCCTTTAGCGCCCTCTTGCGGATACACTTGACTGCTACAAGTTTCAGGGTGCGGCGGTGCTGAGCCACGCGTACCTCAGAGAATGATCCCCTGAAACACACCCACATCGTTATAGTAACCATTCATACAGGCTTTCGTTCTCATTGTTTTATTTTGGGATGATAATTATTCATTCATCCGATGAATTGGGATGGCTTCCCCATCTGACAACTCCAGAGGCCTCTGATAGAGAATTGTAATACTTCATAATGGGAAGAATGTGCCATGATTTCAGTAAGCATCAAGGCATCAAGGTAATGGCTCTCACAGAATTGTATGGCAACATAACTGGGTAGTACAGTTCCAAGTAAAGAGTCTTATATCTGTGTGGAAAAGGCATGTAGATCTAATCCTATGTGGCAAAAATATAACAGACACTCACTCTCCTAGCTTCTCTCCCAGATCATACACTGCTGTGATGTCCTCTGCTTTCTTCCTGAATTCCTTCCCCAGAGGCATCTTCAATAGCTTTATGCAATGGGAAAAGAGAAAAACGTAATGCCTCCTTTATTTGAGCAGAAATCACTAATTCACCCAATCCAATTACACTGGTTAGTTGTTTGGCTAAAGACAACCCTAGGGTCTGCACATCTTTAGTATTAGGTTCATATTCTAATGTGAGTAACTTGCCAAATCTTTATTTTTTTTTAAGGTGTTCAAATTAAATGTATCTATCATCATAGCCATCATAAGATAGGTCTGGAAGTAATCTGAATCATCTTTCATTGCTTTGAAGGTTTCTGAGGTTTCCGTCACTTTCCATCGAATGGTCATGTTCCACAGCAAATATGTCTGTACAAGGACTTCACTATTACATTTTCCAACAGTGGAACCAAACATGTTAAATGCAGAATTCAACTTTATAACTTCCCCTCAGCCTCAAGTGCATTTTAAATATATATTTTTATAGTATTCAAAGCCTATAACATACATGTGTTCATAAACCTAATATATTAACTCTAAATAGCATGGCAGAATGACTTGGTCAAATCTAATCTCCTAGTCTAAATAAAAAATGATTATTCAAAGAACCTTTAATCTACCTGTAAAGTCTATACAATATAAAACAAGTGTGTTGTTTGGTTATATGTGGCCAAAAAATTATAGGGTGCGAGTTTACCTGTTGATTGCAGTGGTGGAAAATAATCCTGACTGTCTGTTAGCGGTCTTCACAGTTCTTCTCTCCGTACCTTCGTCACCACTCTCCTTAGCCTCTATGAGCGTTAATTGAAAATCCCCCTTATTTTCCTGAAGCAACCTTGTCCACCCCACCCACACACTAACAGTACAAAAGCTGACTTTTGAAAGAGATAGAGCAGAGAAAAGCGGATAGAGAGAGTAAGGTTGAAAACTGCCTCTCACAGTTACGCAATGCATCAGCTTCAAGAAAACAAGCCATGTGTAAAAGGCTTACTGTCAAGAGGAACTACTCAGTACATTTCTCTGCATCTGGTATATTAAGTTTGGTAGCACTGTTTACAATTTGTCCCAAAATATTATAATAAATGATCAAGGAGAAAGCCATGTGCACCGGTTTACTTGCAAGTTGTCTGAGCCTGTGAAGGAACACCACAGGCTCTATATTTACATTATGTAACCTGGCTTTTGTCTCTGCAACACCAACCTGCACTGTCCTTCTATGGACACAGGGTTATCCAGTGAATCTCATCCATCCAATCCATCTGGCACAAAGAACTCAAACAACCCTCTGGCCAGAAGAACAGTCTATCCCACATTCTGCATGCCTTTCATAGCAGAGCTGCAAAACAGAGTAAGATGCATTTATCCTGCAGACACAATCATGCTTCTGAACAAAATTTTAACAAATAATCGGGCTTAATAATTGTGAAATCAAAATCAAATCATAATATATACTGTATACTAATATGAATATGAATATTATTACACTCTCTATTCTAATTTATAATCTGCTGTTAGACACAGTAATCTCACATTTTTAACTGCAGTGTAGAATTCAAACTGTCCTGAGTGATAACTGTCCACATTTCAGGCAGGTTGATATTGTTGTTATTGTGCCATCCAATACTGCCAATGTAAATGTGAATACTATTACAAAATCATCTTTGTGATGTTTGGACATTTTAGCCGCCAGAGGAAAACATCTTATTGGTGTCCTTTAGTAGTGGTTTTTTTTGCAGCAATTCGACCACGAAGGCCTGATTCACGCAGTCTCCTCTGAACAGTTGAGATGTGTCTATTTGAACTCTGTGAAGCATTTATTTGGGCTGCAATCTGAGGTGCAGTTAACTCTAATGAACTTATCCTCTGCAGCAGTAACTCTGGGTCTTCCTTTCCTGTGACATTCCTCATGAGAGACAGTTTCATCATAGCGCTTGATGGTTTTTGCGACTGCACTTGAAGAAACTTTCAAAGTTCTTGAAATGTTCCGGGTTGACTAACCTTCATGTCTTAAAGTAATGATGGACTGTCATTTCTCTTTGCTTATTTGAGCTGTTCTTGCCATAACATGGACTTGGTCTTTTACCAAATAGGGCTATCTTCTGTATACCCCTCCCACCTTGTCACAACACAACTGATTGGCTCAAACACATTAAGAAGGAAAGAAATTCCACAAATTAACTTTTAAACAAGGCACAACTGTTGATTGAAATGCATTCCAGGTGACTACTGCATGAAGCTGGTTGAGAGAATGCCAATAGTGTGCAAAGTTCTCATCATGGCAAAGGGTGGCTAATTTGAAGAATCTCAAATATAAAATATATTTTGATTTCTTTAACACTTTTTTTGGTTACTACATGATTCCATATGTGTTATTTCATAGTTTTGATGTCTTCACTATTATTCTACAATGTAGAAAATAGTAAAAATAAAGAAAAACCCTGGAATGGGTAGGTGTGTCCAAACTTTTGACTTGTATTCACACCCCTGAGTCAATACATGTTAGAATCACCTTTGGCAACGATTACAGCTCTCAGTCTTTCTGAGTAAATCTCTAAGAGCTTTGCACACCTGGTTTGTACAATATTTGCACATTATTATTTTTTAAATTCTTCAAGCTCTGTCAAGTTGGTTGCTGATCATTGCTAGACAGCCATTTTCAAATCTGCCAAATGTTTTGCAGTTTTAACTTTAGTGCCTTGTTGCAAACAGGATGCATGTTTTGGAATATTTTTATTCTGTACAGGCTTCCTTTTCACTCTGTCAATTATGTTAGTATTGTGGAGTAACTACAATGTTGATCCATCCTCAGTTCTCCTATCACAGCCATTACTGTTTTAAAATCACCATTGGCCTCATGGTGAAATCCCTGAGCGGTTTCCTTCCTCTCCGTAAACTGAGTTAGGAAGGACGCCTGTATTTTTTTAGTGACTTGGTGTATTGATACACCATTCAAAGTGTAATTAAGAACTTCACCATGGGCCTCCCGAGTGGCGCAGCGGTGTAAGGCACTGCATCGCAGTGCTAGAGGCGTCACTACAGACCTGGATGGCTTCCGGGTTAAGCGAGCAGTGTGTCAAGAAGCAGTGCGGTTTGGCAGGGTCGTGTTTCGGAGGATGCATGGCTCTCGACCTTCGCCTCTCCCGAGTCCGTACGGGAGTTACAGTGATGGGACAAGACTGTAACTACCAATTGGAGGGTAAAAAGTACAAAAAAAATAAAAAATGAACTTCACCATGCTCAAAGGGATATTCAAAGTCTGCTTTTATTTTATGCATCTACCAATAGGTGCCCTTCTTTGTGAGGCATGGGGAAACCTCCTTGATCTTTGTGGTTGAATCTGTGTTTGAAATTCACTGCTCAACTGAGGGACCTTACAGATAATTGTATGTGTGAGGTACAGAGATGAGGCAGTCATTCAAAAATCATGTTAAACACTATTATTGCACATATTAAACACTTATTACGTGACTCGTTAAGCAAATGTTTACTCCTGAACTTATTTAGGCTTGCTATAACAAAGGTGTTGAATACTTATTGACTCAAGACATTTAATATTTTATTAATTTGTAAAAATTCAGAAAAACATAATTCCACTTTGACATTATGGGGTATTGTATGTAGGCCAGTGACAAAAAAAATCTCAATTGAATCCATTTAAAATTCAGGCTGTAGCACAACAAAATTAGGAAAAAGTCAAGGGGTGTGAATACTTTCTGAAGGCATTGTATGCTCACAGGACTACATCTCTTTGATGGTGCCTAAGGCCGTCACAAAGCTAGGTAAAAAAGCATTCCAGTATCCTGCCCCCTGTACTTGGAACGAGCTACAAAAGGACTTGAAATGACAGGAGCTCCTTAACTGATTTTAAAGCCAGGGTAAAATCTATGGTGGAAAATGGTTTAGGGGGCTGTCAATGTTTTGACCCCTAGTTGAACCATTTCTCCCAAAACGAATGTGCCTGTTGAATGTGTAAACGGATGTTTTTAAACCGTAGTGCTTGTGTTTTACAGTGAGGGAAAAAAGTATTTGATCCCCTGCTGATTTTGTACGTTTGCCCACTGACAAAGAAATGATCAGTCTATAATTTTAATGGTAGATTTATTTGAACAGTGAGAGACAGAATAAGAAAAACGCATGTCAAAAATGTTATAAATTGATTTGCATTTAAATGAGGGAAATAAGTATTTGACCCCCTCTCAATCAGAAAGATTTCTGGCTCCCAGGTGTCTTTTATACAGGTAACGAGCTGAGATTAGGAGCACACTCTTAAAGGGAGTGCTCCTAATCTCAGCTTGTTACCTTTATAAAAGATACCTGTCCACAGAAGCAATCAATCAATCAGATTCCAAACTCTCCACCATGGCCAAGACCAAAGAGCTCTCCAAGGATGTCAGGGACAAGATTGTCGACCTACACAAGGCTGGAATGGGCTACAAGACCATCGCCAAGCAACTTGGTGAGAAGGTGACAACAGTTGGTGCGATTATTCGCAAATGGAAGAAACACAAAAGAACTGTCAATCTCCCTCGGCCTGGGGCTCCATGCAAGATCTCACCTCGTGGAATTGCAATGATCATGAGAACGGTGAGGAATCAGCCCAGAACTACATGGGAGGATCTTGTCAATGATCTCAAGGCAGCTGGGACCATAGCCACCAAGAAAACAATTGGTAACACACTACGCCGTGAAGGACTGAAATCCTGCAGCGCCTGCAAGGTCCCCCTGCTCAAGAAAGCACATACAGTGGGGAAGAAAAGTATTTAGTCAGCCACCAATTGTGCAAGTTCTCCCACTTAAAAAGATGAGAGAGGCCTGTAATTTTCATCATAGGTACACGTCAACTATGACAGACAAAATGAGAAAAAAAAATCCAGAAAATCACATTGTAGGATTTTTAATGAATTTATTTGCAAATTATGGTGGAAAATAAGTATTTGGTCAATAACAAAAGTTTCTCAATACTTTGTTATATACCCTTTGTTGGCAATGACACAGGTCAAACGTTTTCTGTATGTCTTCACAAGGTTTTCACACACTGTTGGTGGTATTTTGGCCCATTCCTCCATGCAGATCTCCTCTAGAGCAATGATGTTTTGGGGCTGTCGCTGGGCAACACAGACTTTCAACTCCCTCCAAAGATTTTCTATGGGGTTGAGATCTGGAGACTGGCTAGGCCACTCCAGGACCTTGAAATGCTTCTTACGAAGCCACTCCTTCGTTGCCCGGGCGGTGTGTTTGGGATCATTGTCATGCTGAAAGACCCAGCCACGTTTCATCTTCAATGCCCTTGCTGATGGAAGGAGGTTTTCACTCAAAATCTCACGATACATGGCCCCATTCATTCTTTCCTTTACACGGATCAGTCATCCTGGTCCCTTTGCAGAAAAACATCCCCAAAGCATGATGTTTCCACCCCCATGCTTCACAGTAGGTATGGTGTTCTTTGGATGCAACTCAGCATTCTTTGTCCTCCAAACACGACGAGTTGAGTTTTTACCAAAAAGTTCTATTTTGGTTTCATCTGACCATATGACATTCTCCCAATCCTCTTCTGGATCATCCAAATGCACTCTAGCAAACTTCAGACGGGCCTGGACATGTACTGGCTTAAGCAGGGGGACACGTCTGCACTGCAGGATTTGAGTCCCTGGCGGCGTAGTGTGTTACTGATGGTAGGCTTTGTTACTTTGGTCCCAGCTCTCTGCAGGTCATTCACTAGGTCCCCCTGTGTGGTTCTGGGATTTTTGCTCACCGTTCTTGTGATCATTTTGACCCCACGGGGTGAGATCTTGCGTGGAGCCCCAGATCGAGGGAGATTATCAGTGGTCTTGTATGTCTTCCATTTCCTAATAATTGCTCCCACAGTTGATTTCTTCAAACCAAGCTGCTTACCTTTTGCAGATTCAGTCTTCCCAGCCTGGTGCAGGTCTACAATTTTGTTTCTGGTGTCCTTTGACAGCTCTTTGGTCTTGGCCATAATGGAGTTTGGAGTGTGACTGTTTGAGGTTGTGGACAGGTGTCTTTTATACTGATAACAAGTTCAAACAGGTGCCATTAATACAGGTAACGAGTGGAGGACAGAGGAGCCTCTTAAAGAAGAAGTTACAGGTCTGTGAGAGCCAGAAATCTTGCTTGTTTGTAGGTGACCAAATACTTATTTTCCACCATAATTTGCAAATCAATTAATAAAAAATCCTACAATGTGATTTTCTGGATTTTTTTCCCTCAATTTGCCGGTCATAGTTGACGTGTACCTATGATGAAAATTACAGGCCTCTCTCATCTTTTTAAGTGGGAGAACTTGCACAATTGGTGGCTGACTAAATACTTTTTTTCCTCACTGTATACAGGGCCGTCTGAAG